TTTGATTTCTATATTTATTGATTTGAGTCTTCTCCCTTTTTTTCTTGATGAGTCTGGCTAATGGTTTATCAATTTTGTTTATCTTCTCAAAGAACCAGCTTTTAGTTTTATTGATTTTTGCTATAGTTTCCTTCATTTCTTTTTCATTTATTTCTGATCTGATCTTTATGATTTCTTTCTGGCTCTCCTTCTGTGGCTTTCTTTTATTCCACCCTCATAGATCTTTTGGCTTCATCTTCAACGTCATTAGCTAGATGGCTACAGCACTTCCAGAAGAAAAAGGTGCAGATGAAGGTGGAGACCACCTTTTCCTTGTGTCTCTTTTTTTTTTTTTAATAGCTGTCCTAGTGGGTGTGAAGTGGTAACTCATTGTGATTTTGATTTGCATTTCCCTAATGACTGATGATGTTGAACATCTTTTCATGTGATTGCTGGTACCATTTATATATCTTTTCTGAGAAATGTCTATTCAAGTTCTTTGCTCATTTAAAAAAAATTTTTTTTTGATAAATTTATTTATTTATGGCTGTGTTGGGTCTTCGTTGATGGCCACAGGCTTTCTCTAGTTGCAGAGAGCAAGGGCTACTCTTCACTGAAGTGCATGGGCTTCTCATTGCAGTGGCTTCTCTTGTTGTGGAGCACAGGCTCTAGGCGTGCAGACTCAGTAGTTGTGGCACACGGGCTTACTTGCTTCACGGCATGTGGGATCTTCCCGGACCAGGGATCGAACCCATGTCCCCAGCACTGGCAGGCAGATTCTTAACCACTGTGCCACAAGGGAAGTCCCTAAATTTATTTTTTATTGAAGTATAGTTGAATTACAATGTTGTGTTAATAACAGCAAAGTGACTCAGTTATACATATATATACATTTTTTTCATATTCTTTTTCATTATGGTTTATCACAGGATATTGATATTCCTTATGCTATACAGTAAGGTCCTTTGCCCATTATTTTTTAATTTTTAAAAATTTTTTGGCCACACTGTGCGTCTTGCGGGATCTTAGTTCCCTGACCAAGGATCGACCCCAGGCCCCTGCAGTGAAGGTGAGGAGTGTTAATGACTGGACTGCCAGGGAATTCCCTCCTTGTGTCTCTTTTTAAAAGTGAGAAAAATCTTTGCAAAAGCCACCCCCCCCATCGCAAAAAAAAATACATTTTCTTTTATTTCTCATGCACTTTCCCAAACCAATCATTAACGAGATGAATGAGATTCCCATTATTACTTAAGGGGTTAAATGGAGACTAGGATGTCATCACCATGATGATCACCACAGTTCTGTTGATCTCTTTGTTTTTCAGAGCTAATGCCTTTTTTATCCCTTTACTATGATTTTAGTATTTTGGGATTGAGGAGATAAATGTGTTCAATCCCTCTGCCCCATTTAACAGTAAATTCTTCAGCCACTTTCTTGCACATACCTGTACTCCTAGCTCACTTTCTTTTATTTTTCTTTCTTTTTGTTATGAATATTTCCCCATGTACAGAAAAATAGAATAGTATAATGAACACCTGCATACCTAGTTTTAACAGTTTTAATATTTTGCCACTGTGTTGACTTCATCTACATTCTTTTTCGTTTTTTATAAATTTATTTATTTTTTTTATTTTTGGCTGCATTGGGTTTTCGTTGCTGCACACGTGCTCTCTCTAGTTGCAGCGAGCGGGGGCTACTCTTTGTTGTGGTGCGCGGGCTTCTCATTGTGGTGGCTTCTCTTGTTGCAGAGCACGGGCTCTAGGTGCACGGGCTTCAGTAGTTGTGGCACGCAGGCTCTAGAGCACAGGCTCAGTAGTTGGGGCACACAGGCTTAGTTGCTCTGCGGCATGTGGGATCTTCCTGGACCAGGGCTCGAACCCGTGTCCCCTGCATTGGCAGGTGGATTCTTAACCACTGTGCCACCAGGGAAGCCCCATCTACATTTTTTGATCTGTTTTGAAGTAAATTGCAGATATCTTGGCATTTCACCCTAAATTTTCAAATGCATCTTTGGAAGGTAAAGGTCTTCTCCTTTATAACTATGATACTAGTATCACACAACAAAATCCGGCTTTTATCTCCCGCAGGATAGGGAGGTCCTAATATGGTGGGGAAAGCTTCAAAAAGAGTCTACCAGAAAGTATGGGAACAACTTAAATGTCCATCAATAGAGTAGTTAAATAAGTTACAATATGTCCATACTATGGAATACTATACTGGGGAATATTAAAATGATGATAGATTTCTATACATGGAAAGATTTCTGCAACATCACTAAGTTAAAAAAAAAAAGCATAATAGTATGTACAATGTGATCCAGTTCTTACGCTACTAAATGTAAAATAGATAGCTGGTGGGAAGCAGCCGCATAGCACAGGGAGATCAGCTCGGTGCTTTGTGACCACCTAGAGGGGTGGGATAGGGAGGGTGGGAGGGAGGGAGATGCAAGAGGGAGGAGATATGGGGATATATGTATATGTATAGCTGATTCACTTTGTTATAAACAGAAACTAACACACCATTGTAAAGCAATTATACTCCAATAAAGATGTTTAAAAAAAAATGCACGTGCCTGTTCGCACAGTAAAGAGGTCTGGAAGGATATAAATCAAAATGGAAGTAACACTTGATCTTGAGTGGCAGGTTTACGAATGCTGTTTTCTTTCTTTATATGTTTTGATGTTATCAAAATTGGTTTACCGTTTGGGTCTTCAGCTGTAAACAGGCAACAGTGCTGTTGTCCCTTCTGACACAGGAGAGTAGGGAATGCACCTGGGAGTTGTGTTTTCTGGACTATAGACTTTTAACATGTAGAATGAATGGCATCTTTGTTTTCATAAGGTTGGAAAGTGATAGTCCATAATAAATTATCATACCAACAGAGTTGGTATAATTACACGGGAAAACTACCTGTGGCCTTGTTTGTGGCGTTTTATGGGGTTTTTTTATTTGTAGCATTGTATGCATACATGAAATTTACTATTTTAATTTCTAAGTGTACAGTTTAGTGGCATTAAGTACATTCACGTTGTGGTGCAACCATCACCACCAGCCGTTTCCAGAACTTTTTCATCATCCGGTACTGGAGCTCTGTACCATTAAATACTAACTCCCTGTTCCCAGCGCCTCGTGACCACTGTTCTACTTTTTGTCCCTGTGAATTTGACTACTCTAGGTACCTCGTACAAGCAGTGTCATACAGTAATTGTCCTTTGTGACGGGCTTAGTTCACTTAGCATCATGCCCCCAAGGTTCATCCATGTTGTAGCAGGTGTCAGAATTTCCTTTCTTTTCTTTGTTTTTTTTAAAGGAACATTTATTTATTTAGTTATTTTTGGCTGTGTTGGGTCTTTGTTGCTGCGCGCGGGCTTTCTCTAGTTGCAGCAAGTGGGGGCTACTCTTCAGTGCTGTGCGCGGGCTTCTCATTGCAGTGGCTTCTCTTGTTGTGGAGCATGGGCTTTAGGCGCACGGGCTTCAGTAGTTGTGGCTTGTGGGCTCAGTAGTTGTGGCTCATGGGCTCTAGAGTGCAGGCTCAGTAATTGTGGCGCATGGGCTTAGTTGCTCTGTGGCATATGGGATCTTCCCGGACCAGGGATTGAACCCTTGTTCCCTGCATTGGCAGGCGGATTCTTAACCACTGCACCACCAGGGAAGTCCAGAATTTCCTTTCTTTTTAAGACTCAATATTCCATTGGGTGGATATATGGTATGGTAACAATTTCATAAAGCCATAGTTTAGTATCTGTTTGTAGAGCTGTCTTGTTTATCCATTCATCTGTTGATGGACATTGGGGTTGTTTCTACCTTTGTGGCTTTGTTTTTACACGACTCTGCTTTGGGGATCTGGTTTGAACTCAGGAATTTGACACCTAGAAAGATTTCAAAACAACAAAGAATCCAGGGTGAAAATGAGGGAGAAGGGAGACGCATGAGTAAAAGCTGCTTCGTGTTGCTTGAAGGGGCAGCTTTCAAAGCAGAGCACAGAAAACCTTTTTGTTTATTTATTTATTATTATTTTTTTAAGATCCTGATTTTTTTTTCTCCAGATCTTCTTTTTCACCCAATCTTTCTCCCTGGTCAATCACCTCATGAAAGTGGAGAGCAGTAAAAACAACAAACAACTAGCTTCGACCGTTCTTCTAACTCTTCTCCTGAGGTGTATGTTTCGTTTTGCTCTTTGCTGCTCAGGAAGCATTAGTGCCACGTCTTACTGCGACTGATGCTGCTTTTCTATAAGCTTAGCCATAATTGAGATGAGATCTGTTGGATTGTTTATACGCATAGAATTCATTCATTCCTTCATTGAGAAACATATTTCTTCAACGCCTACTGTTGAGTCAGTCATGCCAGCCTGTGGGTCTAGAGGCTTGTCAAAAATTAAACGGAAACAATCATCCTCAGAAGACACAATTAAACTGCATGTGGTTTGATATATTAAGAAACAGGCTTGGCTGTGGGGAAAGGAACTTGTGGCCCCATGGCTGGGACAAACCATTTTTTCATGTCGGTATGGTAACAATTTCATAAAGCCATCGTTTAGTAGCTGTGTGTGTAGGGCTGTCTTTTGTCATCACTGATATTTTGTTGATTGATTTGAACTTATTTATCTGGTTGATCTTCCCATCAGGTCCACTTTCAAAGAGAAGCAACTGCAGGGCAAGTACAAATTACTTACATGCAAATGAATGAATAGTTGTAAGTGAATTCTAGAAGATTAGTTTTAAGTTAAATTAACTCTTTGTCACATTGGCTTCTATTTTTGTAGTTTCTATTCCTCTTACACTGTTGGAGTTGTCCCTGACGCCCAAATTCAAGCAGGGCAGAGCCTCAGCTCCAACCTGTAGAGAGCTGGTCGCTGCTCACCCTCTCAGCCTGAATTTTCCCCTTGTGCAGATTTGCCATTGATCCGCCTTCCTTAATGTATCTGGAAGGCTGACTGGTCTGCCTTCCGAGCTCCATGAAACTGGGTGGATCTTGTTCCCTCGGAAAAGTTGATTCTGTTTGCTCTCTCTTGCCCTTAGACCATCATCTGCAAATAGCATAAGCAGCAGTACATCTTCAAATCACAGTGGCTACACCCCGGAACCCCCTCTACCCCCAGTTGGAGGTGACCTCGCCAGCCGACTGTCAAGTGATGAAGGGGAGATGGACGGAGCCGACGAATCCGAGAAGTTATTAGACTGTCATTTCTCCACCCACCACCCCAGACCTCTTGCGGTAGGCCTCCTTCTGTTTCCATCCAGGCGTTGTTTCCCCCTGTGCTTTGCAGTATCTAGGTGACTGTGTCCTACAATGGCATCCTTCCTAAGGAGAGGCCTCCGGGACAGTGTTTTACGAAAGGGCTTCCCCTGAGGTTGAATGATTACCTTAGAAATCCCCTCTGAAAATCACAGAAGGAAAGGTAAGGGCTCCCAGCTGATTTTAATCCTTTAAACACCTGAGTATTTGTGGTCCACCTGGAAGCGATAATGCTTGAGAAACGGTGTTTATAGAAGAGCACGGGGAACTGACCTTCCTGCCTTGCCCGTCCACGGGGAGCCTCTGATTTCAAGAGTTAGTCTAGCTCACCTGCCTTGGAAACTGTCTCTGAGCAGTGTTCCAGGTGCCAGTCCTGGCTGGTTTGCTCCCCTGTTGGTTCTGAGTTTTATTGTTATTAGTAGGTGTGACGATATGGCACCAGAACTGAGTGTGTGTGTGTGTGTGTGTGTGTGTGTGTGTGTGTGTGTGTGTGTGTGTGTGTGTGCAGGAAAGAAGGAAGCATTTCATGTCCGCGTGATTGTTGATTAACGAAAAGGTCAGTTTCTTCCCAGTTCCTTGAAAGAATCCACTTTAACAATTCAGAAGGTCATGGAAATCGAGGTGGGTGGTATAAGGAGGCATGAGCTGGAGGCTTGTTTGTGTTTGCCCTACGAGCACTTAAGAAGGGACTGCCTGGTGCTTCCATCACAGAGCCGAATTCAGGGAGGCTGGGAACGTTGGACCCCACAGCCGGTTTGCTCTGTTCCCAGCTTCAGCCCTGCAAGATTAGCTTTGACTGTCCCAAGATGGCATGAACTGTGTAGGTGAAATCAACCGTGCATCACGATAGAGTGAGTCCCTCCTCCCTTCTATCAGCATGATGAATGAAGGCCAAATTCACTTCCTGTTTCTGGGGAGGACGGTGACCTGTACTTCACCAACAGCCTGAGACTTTGCCTCTTGGCTAGTACAAAAATAGGGGCAGTCAGGAATGCTTCTGACGGCCAGTAATAGAAAACAACTCATACAGTGTGTGCACTTCGGTCATTTACTTGTCTCATATAACAAGGAGTCTAGAGGTGAGAGCTCCCAGGCTTGGTTCAGCATCTCCTCAATGTCCTGCTGCTGAGGGAGAATCTCTGCAACCCTCTTTGCCTTTCACGCACAGTCTGGATGTGTCAGCTCGAGCTCCAATATCACATCCTCACCCAGTAGCACTCTACAAAGCGGGGAAAGGGACAAACAGAAAGGGAGTCTGCTTCTAAGATGCTATCTTATGTCATTTCTTAGGGAAGAAAAATCTTCCTATGAGCACCCCCAGCAGACCTTCCCTTCCATCAACCAGAAGTAGGTCATGTGCCCAGCCCTATACCAATCAGTGGCAGAGAGGATAGGATTGTAGTAGCACAGAATGAAACCTGCCGTGATTTCATCCCAGAGTTCTGGGAAGAGACCTACCTTCCCTGCTCACTGTGTGGTTCTGTTAGCAAGGAAAAGGCAGGGAGAGCTGGGGGGGGGGCGGGGGGGGGGTGGGTAGCAGTTGATGAACTTGGCAACCAGTAGGGTCTGCCACAGTGGCCAGTGCAGCGAGGATCACCAGCCCTACCTGGGGCATCATAGGCGACCAAGGACAGGAGCCTCTGGGGCACTGAGCGTTGCATGTGTGTTGAATTAGAGACATAGGTAGCACAGACAGTAAGAGGCCTCCAGCTTCCAAGTCTGAAAGGGAGACAGGGCTGTCTACCAGAAGGCCAGACTCTGGAGCACATCAAGATCTTTGTCCAAATGACAAGCTGCCAGGCTACAGTGGATTAGCTCAACTCAGAGCCTGGCAGATTTGTGTGCCCTTCATGTTTTGCTGATTTAAATGGAAAGGCCACGGATTCGTTTCTTTGCTTTGTCCTTTCTCTCACGGCCAACTGATACATTAAATCAATTTTTGTAATGAACACTTGTTCAGGGTGTCTTTAGCAAGGAGATGAAAGAAGAAAAGATGTCTGGACCTGGACCGGCTCCCACATGCTGCTGGGGACCGGCTTCCACGTGGGAGAACTCCCTTTGTATGTTTTAGTACTTGGCCAGTAAGCCCTTAATGTGCGGAAAAGAATTTTTCATCAGGAGTACCAGATTTGATGGGAGGCAAGATTTTAGGGTAACCCCACCCCAAACATAAGCAGAAACAAAACAAAGGGAAGGTCTTGCGTTTCCTCCTAAGAACTGTTCCAAAGGCTGGTTCCAGGAAGGATTTGTGGAATGAGTGCCAACCCAGCACTGTGTCTGGGATGGAGGCCAGGGAGCTGCTGGGAGAGGCCTGGGGGAGGGGGAAAAACGCAGTTGAGTTATAGAGTCATATTTGCAGACTCGCTTGAGCTCTGACCAGGCAAATGTCACCTCCTCAGAAGCCGCTTCTTACCTGTCTGTCTGCTGGCCTGGTTGTCCTAACATCATCATTAAATGACGTTTATCAAACATCTAACTGCTCATATTTCAGCCCCGTGTTTTAAGTGTGATAGTTCGTTCTGAACACTTTGTAGGACCTTATCTCTGTAATCCATCCTTTAGCCTAAATCTCTTCTCATATTGAGAAGAGAATGGGGTCCCTGACCTTTATACGTTTATAATCATCAAGACAGGCACAGAAGCATGCAATATAATGTAATACAGCCACCTAGCGATTCCCAGGTGGGAAAGTAATGAAGTATGTGTAGGTGTCTGTGGGAGTTCAGAGCGGCAGCGTGAGTCAGATAAAGGTCGCTGGAAAGGAGAGTCTTAATTAGGGCCCTGAGGGAGGGGAGAATTGCACTTGGCCGAGAGAAGAGGGGAGGAGACAGAGGCAGGCCGAGGGGGCAGCAGAAGCGTGGGCGCAGAGGCAGTGATGTGTCCCAGGGCAGCCTGGACGCGCCGATGGGAGAGGAGATGAGGCAGCACCAGGAGAGGAGGGAGTTCAGCCCAGCTGGGAGGGAGCTGGCTCCGCTGACAACAGGTAGGAACGGTATGACCCACTGGCAGGAGAAGCTCAGGACCAGCCGTTTCCATTACCGTGATGGGAAGCAGAGAACCACCGTCTTCCTTGAGAAGATGACAGCTGTGACAAGCCCGTGGTGCTGACACACTACCCGGCTACTGGTTGCTGTTGGTTGGGTTTGGCTTGGTTTTGTTTTTCAACCTAAAATGCTGGCTCAATTCCAGGTATAGAGAAGGTAGCCCTCAATGCTACGGAAGACCGAATGTCACTATTGTTGAGTCATCCTGTGAGGTTCTGCAGAAAATCTAGGAGCTCAAACTGAAGCACCACAGAAATATTTTTGGCTTCGGTACTATTTTGCTTCTTTATTTTGAGGAAAACTGTACCCCTGTGTGTTTTTATGCAAATGTTATTTTTCTGTGTAGAGCTTATATTAGCTTATTAACCTGTAATCAAAATTAAAATCGTTTTTGTTTTCCCCCTCACAGTTTTGCTCATTTGGGAGTCGCCTCATGGGCCGAGGGTATTATGTGTTTGATAGAAGATGGGACCGTTTTCGATTCGCACTAAACTCCATGGTAGAAAAACACTTGAATTCACAGATGTGGAAGTAAGTGAGCGGTTTTTGTGCAATATGAGATCTGAGCTGCTCCACAACTATCTGAACCCCAGCTTTCTAAATGAATGTCACTAGTTGGTTTTTGTTTGTTTGGTTGGTTGGTTTTTTGCGGTACGCAGGCCTCTCACTGTTGTGGCCTCTCCCGTTGCGGAGCACAGCCTCTGGAAGCGCAGGCTCAGCGGCCATGGCTCACGGGCCCAGCCGCTCCGCGGCATGTGGGATCCTCCCGGACCGGGGCACGAACCCGCGTCCTCTGCATCGGCAGGCGGACTCTCAACCACTGCGCCACCAGGGAAGCCCACTAGTTGCTTTTTTATTGAACAAAATGATTCTGAAATCAGGGTTCGTGATTAATTCTTAAATGTCAGCCCCTCTTCTTGGTTGCCTATATTTTTCAGAGACAATGTGTGGTATGCTTTGTCTTCTTTGGAGATCCCTTTTGTGTTGGTAATCTTCGAAACTAAATGAAAAGGGATTAGATAAGACCTCGTTATTTAACAGTGTTAAAGGGCCTTTTTGCTATGACTGAGACCATCTAAGGATATTAAGAATATGCTTCAGTTTGTAATGTTAATGCTACAGTGTCAATACTAAACATTTCCTAACGGTTATGGACCAACTTGTAATTGTTCAATGTCCTGTGCAAAAGTACGTACCGCAACCAACAGGGCAGATCAGGGGCCATGTTGCCAAGTTGGTTAAGCTTGTCTTTGGCCCTTCCCACCTCGCTATAGGACTCTCTCCTCACCTCTATGCATACTTCTCTCTACCCTAAACCCAGCTTATGTCCCATTTCCCTATGGTCCTTTTATTCTCCAACACCTCTCGATGTATTTGCATTTTAATAGATTCATGAAAAGGGGAAAAGCCTTCTTGACTTAGGGAAATGCTGTTGTACAGGAAGACGGGGCTAGACCCTCTCAAACCATAGCACGTAAGGAGCTGCCATTCCGGCCACTTGGTAATGCCAGGCCAACGCCCTGGCTACCTCCAGCCCCCAGTCCTGCAAAGGTGAGCTTTTGAGATCTCATAATCCACAGAATCATGGATTCCTCAGCTCTAAGCCCAGATGGTCCAGGAGAGCCAACACTAAGCCCCTCACCCTGCCCAGTGAAGCCCAGGAAAGGCCAGGAAGGCATTCCTGAGAAATAGGGTAGGATGGGAACAGAATTCAAAACCTCCCCTCTCCCAGGTCTCCTCCACTCTCCCAGGCAATGATGGCATCCCAGCGCCTATTCACCACGATGCCCAAAGAGCTTCCAGAACTTCTAGAAGTAAGCCCCACGGTGCCTGCAGTAAGCTCTCATAGCGGACTTAGGACGACACATTGACACTTCCTGTGAAGTAGGAAAGGGCCACAAGAGAAGCTTGTCATTTCTTCTCCCTTAAGTGGCTGCCCAGTGTGTCTCAAAGGCACCCCGAGATCTACCTGTGTCCTTTCTAAACAGCACCCGATGGGCTGCGTGCGGGGTTACTGTGTTCTCGGTGTTCGGTGACTTATCCCTCTGCGCGGGTCCCCCAGCACGGCAGCCAGCGCCGGTGACTCTGCAGCTCTGTGCTCTCCTGTGTTGCGGAAGTGTAAATCCCGGGCACGTGGAAGGAATGTGTTGATCTGTATTTCGCTGCCTGGTGTCCTGTCAGCTCAAGTCCATATTCCTTTCCTCCTCAGGCACAGAAACCCGAGCCACAGGGCATCAGGTCCCTCCCCCCTTTTCAGGACTTGTCTAACCAATCTGCTGTCACTGAGCAACATTGGGGCTGCCTGGGTGTCAACTCTGGAGAGCGTAGCACCCCGCTGCCCTCTCAACCTCACTGCCCAAACCCCAGGCCCCGACGGGCCCGAACCTGGAGGGATGGCAGCCGATGGGGGCGTGGAAGACATTAGGAAGAAAAGGAACGGCCAAGACTCTTTTTTCTTTAACAAGCATTTAACTCTGCATCAGGAGACGCCAACACAGTATTCTCTTTCAGCCAGGTCAGCATCTGGATCTCCATGCCAGCTGGCAGGGGAGGATGGGCACTGTAATTTATTCGCATCTGTGGGCTTTTGTATGGGACTTCCCTAGGCCAGCGTGCAAAGCTTCAGCTGGGACACAGCCCGCCAAGCTGAAATCCGCTGCCATTTGGCACCTGGAAGAGCACATTAACTGTCTAGCGTGGGGGGAAGGGGTCCCCGGAGACAGTGAGCTGCCACATGCCCCTCTCCCTGCTGCTCCCCTACCCCTTCTCCCCTCCTGACTCTGCTGGCCATTAAGGGTGAGTGGGGAGAGGAAGGAAAGAGGTAGAGAGTATGCAGAAAAAGAGCACCCACCCCAGTGCTGAGTGTCAGCCCGGGCACGCTGAGGACTTCAGCTCTGCCGGTCACCACAAGCTGAAACCTGAATGTGTACAAACAAAAGAAAATAACAAATCGGGACACTCAGAGCAGATCCCAGTTAAGGTCATCGATGGGGGTCCTCTCTAAATGAGCCATCTGGTATTTGTAAATAACTTTTTATTACAAGGCACTGCCAAACCTCCGCCCATATGGACGCCTATCCGTAGTTTAGCTGGTACGGAAATTAAGTGAAGGAGAGACTTGAGTGGGATGCCTAGAGAATCCCAGGAGTCAGTAGCCAGCGGAGACGGTGCGGTGTGCTGACACCACACACTCTGAGAAATGGGCCCTGGTGCTGTTAGGAAGGGGTTGTGCAGTGCCAGACAGTTGTAAGGGCGTGTTTAGACCTTTCCGATCTGATTCATGGGAGTCCTTGCCTGGCATGCATAGTTATGTCGCTGCTGAGAAGTCACCTGCTCACCCATCCACCACCCACCCATCCATCCATCCATTCAGTCATTCATTCATTGCAACAAGTACCACTAATGGAGCCCCAGTTTAGCGTTGACAGGGAGCTTTTACTCTCTTTAGGCCCGAGAGAAAACAGATTTTCAAACACCGTCACAGCCACAGTGGGTTTGGCAATGTTTTTCTCCTATATTTGATCTCCTGAGTCTGATGTTTTCAGGGACACTGCGCTTATATATTCAAGGCTTCCTCTGGATTCCACCCTAGAGGTGGAAGCCATGGGCTTCAGCAAACTGCAGGCAGAAAACTGCATCCTCAAAGAGAGCAGGGCTAGGAGAGGCATTTCCTCCTCAGCGGGGCCTCTTCCCAGCGCTGCCTGCCTCACCCCGATGCTGCGGCTGGGAGGGTGGCCTCCAAGGAGAAAAGGGAGGCCCCATTTCACACCTGCCCGCCTTCAAGAGCTGTTTTCGAAGCTCTTGAACGAAGCAGAGCTCGTTCCTAATTTCTGGGGAGCCCAGCTACACGGAACATGATTTCCAGCAGAAACAGGGAGTGGGGAGCAAGGTGAGAAACAGGAAAGAACCAGTTTGAAAATATTCACCTGGCTCCTGAGGTCAGTATCCTTTCCTGAAAAGTCAGGGACATGGTGACCCAGAGGCCCCTGTGCCCCTCTCAGTCCCCAGAGTAGCAGCAACATGGCCCCAAGCCATGGTTTGGAAGTAGAAGCTGTTTCCAGCACACGTCAAAAGACAGAGTTTGCGGGGAGGCCTCCAGAGTAACCCACCACCTGGGGCTGGCCTGGGCTCCACGGAGCGTGAGGCAGGGACCTTGCTCCCAGGTGCCCCCAGCTTTCAGAAAGACCTCCGCCCCGTTCAGATGCTCTCCTGCACTTATCTTCTGAGCAAGCTAGAAATTCCTGATCCCCTTCTCTGAATCCATGAGGGTCCCTGTACCCTTCCCCCTTCCTAACAGAGGGACAGGAAGACCTGCTGAAGGGCAGCCATACCCCAAAGATAGCTCCTGAGTGATCGCTGAGGCAGGGTGAGGTGAAGGGGGAAAAAAAACAGAGCCAACAGCCGGGAGCTGACGTGGAAGTGCCTCTCTACAGGGTAACCCAGAGGCTGCAGGCAGCGAGGGCAGGGGGACTCTAGCCTGTGAGGAGAGAGGTGACTCCCAGATCTCCTCCCGTCAAGAGCAGGGTGGAGAGGCGGGGCACAGGAGGGGTGGGAGGCCCTGAGGGGCAGGGGCTGCAGGGGCACAGGGGGCGCTCTGGCCCACGTGTGCAGGTGGCCAAGCCCCGTCCTCACGCCTCTTACTTCAAGCCAGGACCTGAGTGTGAAACGACCCCTTCTCGTTAAAAATTACCTTTGTCACTGCCAGGGGAGAAAACAAACAACAGAGGGGGATACTGCTGGGGAAGTTTCTATTCTAAATAACATTCGCCTTTTATTCATGAACCCAAATCAGCCATTATCCAGTAGCCCAGCATGGAGAAAAGGATCTGAAAACCTGAAAGTAATTAAAACTAGGTTGCTGGATGTTGCAATGGGGGGAACTATAGGGAAGGGCCATAATTCAGACTTTGCCATCCTTCAAGGCTTCATTTTCCATTGTCTGGTTCCGCCAGGGATTTCTCTGTAGCCCTGATGCTCACACGTAGTCGAGCTTCTGGAGCAATGCCAAACCTATTTCTCACTGTTTCTCTTTCACTCTTCTCTCATGTTTAGGAAGATCCCTCCTGCGGCAGATAGCCCCATGCCCTCGCCAGCAGCCCACATCACCACCCCTGTTCCAGCATCCGTTTTACAGCCTTTCAGCAACCCCAGTGCTGTGTATCTTCCTTCAGCTCCCATCAGCTCGAGACTCACCTCTTCTTACATAATGACATCAGCCATGCTCTCCAATGCAGCTTTTGTGACATCGCCGGACCCGAGCGCCCTCATGTCACACACCACAGCTTTCCCTCATGTGGCCGCAACCCTCAGCATCATGGACTCAACATTCAAGGCCCCATCTGCCGTGTCCCCGATACCAGCTGTCATCCCTTCCCCATCCCACAAGCCATCCAAAACCAAAACCAGCAAATCCTCAAAAGTCAAAGACCTGTCCGCCCGTAGTGACGAGTCTCCAAGTAACAAAAAGAGGAAGCCGCCGTCTTCGACTTCCGCCTCTCCCTCCGTATCCCTGCAGACATCCCTCTCCCCATTATCAGGGCCCCACAAAAAGAACTGTGTTTTGAATGCCAGTTCAGCTTTGAACTCCTATCAGGCAGCCCCTCCCTATAACAGTCTGTCTGTGCACAACTCAAACAACGGGGTGAGCCCACTCAGTGCCAAACTGGAGCCCTCAGGACGGACCTCGCTGCCCGGCGGCCCTACAGACTTAGTGAGACACATGGGCTCGGGGGGCGGCAGCAGTGACTCCTGTCCCCTCTCTGTGCCCTCCCTTGCAGGGGACCTCTCTCTGGCCTCACACAATGCCGTGTCTTCTCTGCCCCTCTCTTTTGACAAATCAGAAGGAAAAAAGCGTAAGAACTCAAGTTCTAGTAGCAAAGCCTGTAAAATCACTAAAATGCCTGGAATGAATAGCGTTCACAGAAAGAACCCACCCAGCCTTCTTGCACCGGTGCCCGATCCCGTTAACAGCACCTCCTCTCGGCAGGTAAGGGACCCGTCCTTCCAGGAGCCTTCTGGCACCGCCTGGGGATGGCGGGAGGGGGAGCAGGGCAGCGCCTCCCCCCCCCCCCCCCCCCCCCCCCCCCCCCCCCGCTTAGCTATGTGGCCCAGGCAGGTGGCCCAGACAGGTGGCCCAGACAGGTAACGCAAGCATGAGTCCCATCCTCGTTCTCCCCGTGGGCAATTCCACCCTCTGCTCTGAGAGCAATTTATCTAACAGATACTTTCTACAGTCTCCACGCACTAGGCACTGTTCTGAGTCCTATATGAGCATCACCTCATTTAATCCTCACAGCAACCCAGCGAGGTTGATGCAATTGTAATCACCACTTTACAGATGAGCAAACTGAGGCACAGAGAGGTTCTGAGTTCCATCACCTCACTCTATTGTATATCTGGAGTTCTGAGGATGATATCATTGAAGGGGTCTATTGCCAAGCAGTTTTATCTGATCTATTGGCATCCCCTTAGGAAGAACCTGAGGCCCAGCCAGGTTAAATGGTGACCTGGGTCCCACCTGGGGGGTGGGAGCGCATGTTTCTGGGGACTATTCTTCTCACTTTACCAGGCTCCCTACTCCTAAGATAACCCTTCCCTTCCTAAAGTCTCGCTGCAGCTCACACCAACTGGCATAGAAGTGTTCAAGGCCACTGTACGCAGAGGAGGGTGTACCGTGAGGGGAGCTGGGGGAATGGGAAATGATCCAAGAAGAACTCGTGTTTCTTTCCCTTGAGCCCTGTTCGCATCCTCAAGTCTAGTCTTCCTCTCGAGCTGGGAAGGCTGCTTAGGAAACCCTCCCACCTGACTGTCTGTGTGTAGAGGAGGGAGCAAAGGCGGGTAGGGGGCAGCCTGGGGTCCCTTTGAGCTGAGTCCAGCGGGAGGGACCTCCCAGGACAGCGTGCAGGGATGGTAGCAGCAGCCCCAGGCCGACAGCCACAGAACTCAGTGGGCCAGCCCTGTCTGGGGATGGGGACTTTGGAGACATGAGAGGCAGTTGTTTAAAAGATGTTTTCACGTTTTGCATCATCTCTGTGTGAGACTTGTTAAAACTTCGTGAAGAGAACCTCTTGAGGGGAATTCACAAAACACAGGTAAACACACAAGAAACAGCAAGTTTGGATCTCAAGGGCCAGACAAGCTGCAACCGAGGCCAAGGTTGTGGCAGTGGGGGATGGACATAGGTCCTCTCATCAGAGCCCAGGTACTCGCACACATCTGCAGTTCCAGGGGTGCAGAGGAGGGGACCAGCACCCACAGGGTCCCGCAGAGACTAAACTACTGGTTGGTGCCACCTTCCAGGTCTCAGGATGGAGGGCAGATCCAGGGCTTCCTAAACTTGAATGTGCACATGAATCACTGGAGGGTCTCAGTAAAATGCACATTCTGAGTCAGCAGGTCTGGGGTGGAGCCTGAGAGTCTGCATTTCTAACAGGCTCCAGGCAGTGCCACGGCACTGGTTTGCGGACCACACCCTGAGCAGCAAGGCTATAGTGTCATCAGTTTTCGATGAAGTTCTAGCAGCTAACACTTACTTATGGGATGGGCTCTGTTCCAAGCACTTGATATATTCATTTAATCTTCACCTGTTATTACCCCCATTTTACAGATGAGTAAACCGAGGCACAGGAAGGTTAAGCAATGTGCCCAAAGTCACACAGCGAGTAAATAATAGGTCTGGGATTTACACCCAAGTAATTTGGCTCTGGGGTCTGGGCTTTTCACCTCTGTGCCTCTGTATTGAGTAAATGTGCCACTGTTGATTCTTTGGTGTGCCAAGACCATATGAGATGTTTAGTAACCATGATGAATTAGTCAAAAACTGTGATGAAAGGAGCAGACAAGCCTCCTTCAGAGAGTGCTCATCAGGAGGGAAATCCAAAAGAGCTGATGAATTTAATGGCTGCCTTGGATCTAGTCAATACTGGTTCTCTAATGCAGCTGATACCTGGGTGCTTGTCACCAGGCCATTAAGAAAAGGCTTTGTCCAGGGTCACCAGGTGTAGGGGGAAGGCCTTTGGAATCTGTGCTGATTCTGTTAGGAGATTGGGAGAGGCATGGCATGAGATTGAGAAATTCAAGGTAAACGTGCTTTGAGGACTAACTGGGGATCTATTGAATTGTATCGGGTGGTGTAGGGCCAGAATTTGCCACAGAGATGTTAAACCGTACAAAAAACGAGACTGCAAACGTAAGGCAGACGTCTTTACGCGAAGGCGAGTTTAAGTAGAGGATGGGCTCGTCATAGCAGCTGCCTCCGTAACGTACTCCAGCCCACCGCGAGCCCAGGTTCGATCACGAGAAAGGGGAGGAGCCCGACGGCCACGCCCCCTCGCCCCCAGTGCTGCGTCATAGGACCGGCCCGCTCAGGCTCCCACTGGAAAGGGAAGACTCATATCTCTTGCCGTTTTACTTAAGAACAGCAAGGAGTGTGTCGGGAAAACTGACTCAGAAAAAGACGCAGGCATTTATTCCCAGCTGGTACAGGGGAGTCTGGGCTCGAGACGGGATGGGTCTGGGACTGCAGTCACTGGTGGAAAAGCTGGGCCTGCTCCCGGAAACTTGCAGTCTGCGCATCTGGGAAGCGGATTAAGATTTCCCCTCCATTCCACGTTCCCTGTGGGATGAGGGGGGCGTCATCAAGGCCCCCCTGAAACATTCTTATTTTCTCTGCCGTTTAAGATGGAAACACGAGTTCCACACGACGGGAGGAGAGCCCTCGAGGTACCGTGCCGCCTCCCCCTTGCCCCTGGCGACTCTTGGTATCGGTGGGTCTCTCCCAAGCTGGCTCCCGTGTCTGAGTAGGGCTTCACTGGTGTCTTTCAGGTTGGGAAAAATAGCAGCCTAGCTTTGTCACAATCCAGTCCTTCAAGCATATCCAGCCCAGGACACAGCCGACAGGTAAGTTACTGGCGGGCAGAAGTCCATAGGCTCATTAGCAGGGTGGAAAGAATGTGGGCTTTGGGGTCAGACCCTGGTTCAAATCTCACGTCCAGTTAAGAAAATGGCTACCTGGCTTCTAACGCTAGGCCTTCTCGTAATTAGCTGTGTGCCCTTGGGCAAGTTACTTAATTTCTCTGTGCTTTAGTTTCCTCGCCTATAAGATGGGGGTCATTATGGCCCCTATCTCATAAGGCTTTTGTGAGGATTAAATTAATTTATAGACATAAAGCCCCTGCAAAATGCCTGAGACCTAACACAGGTATTAGCTTTTACTGTTAGCAGCTGTATGGTATTAGGCAGATTACTTCTCTGAGTCTCACTTTTTTCATTTCTTAAATGGCAGAATCGATGCCTACCTCCTAAGGTTATTATGAAAATTAAATAAGATGCTGTTGATTAAAGGGCTTTGCTCATGGCAGACACTGGTCAGCACTTTCTTGAGGCCTCTGGTGGGCTGTAGCTACCATTCAGGATGTGGTTTTCATGGTGGGACTATTCAGGGTAGATTTAGGAGTTTTTATAAACTTGAGGTGTGAAAACAGTACAGAAGTGATTTTCTCCAGTGGAGTGTGTGCACGTCTGGAGGAGGCCAGGGAGGGTAGGTGAGTAGGGTCGTGTGTGTTCTACATGATGGGAAAAAAAATACATATATGGCTGTTATGTTGTCTTAGAAGTGCCACAGGTTTCGTAGATACCAAATTACAGTGTTTGGGTGAAGGTTCTAGGGAATGGTTTTGTATCCTCAGATCTCCACCACTTTGAATCACTGTGGACCATCTGTGCCAGAGCACCTGCAGCCCCTCCTCTGTGTAGGGTCGGGGAGGGAGGGCAATCTGCCTGTTTATGGCGGGCCTCCTGCACGGGTTGCTGGGTGCACCTGGAGACTCCACTTCGACCCTTAGCAGGCACGTGTGCAGTCGCCCACAACTCTAGGCATACCTGCTGGGAACCCACAACGCTAGCCGTCAGCCTAAGTGAACGTAGCCATTTGTTGAGCCCTTCCTCTGTAGGCGCCGTGCTCTGCCCCTCACATACGTTACATACCTTTCAACCTTTTAACAACCTGGTCGGGTTGGGGACAAATTGGTTATCCTCGTTTTATAGATGAAGATGAAGGAACTTGAACCAAAACCTGTGTATCCAAAGCCTCTGTGCTTAACCCAGCACTATACTTTTTCCTTAGGTAATTCTCCATGCTGTCTGTGAGTTAGTTAGGAAAACATAGACTGAAAAACAAAAACAGAAAAACAAAGATTAATTATCCCGGTCGTCCCTCCTGGAGAGGAGCTCCGTGAAGCCACAGGATTTGCCCCCTTGCTTTCCTTCACAGCTTGGATCTCTGTGCCTACCTTCCATTTACAGAGTTCTTTACTTCCATCACCTCATTTGCTCATCACAGCTGGCTTTTGCCAAATGCAGGAGGTGGGATGGTATCCTTTTCATTATAGATGAGGAAACTGAGACTCCCTTCTTGAATTCTTGTGGGTAATCCCAAATGTATGTTTTGGAAACAAGCTTTTTCTTTTCTTTTCTTTCCTAGAAGACCACAAACAGAACGGGCAGGATAAGGACTCTTCCATAACAAGACTATGAAGCCACTTCCAAACCAATGCCTGGCCACGGGACCTCACCCCAGGAGGCCAAGGCCAGGGGAGGGAGGGGAGTGGGCAGTGGGGAAGAGTCTGTTTCCTGTGCCCTGCCTGTGGCTCTGGCCTTTCTTCTTCTTTTTTTAATTGACCAATTTTTAGTTTTGAGGAAAAAGAAAAAGGCAAAAAGAACGTGAATTTGAGATTTACAGAAAACAATACCAGTGTTTTGTTTCCGTTCTTTAACTTGCCACGTGTATACCTTCTTCCAAGTTTGGGGTCCCTCCTCTAGCTTCTGATGCTGCTACTGCATCATTTTGCTCCGGCCACAAGAGCAGACATTGTAGAATGTCCGTTCCTGGTTGGCATCGTCTGGAACTCTTGAACTTGAGCATGTGCAGTGCTCCTTTCCTTGCCCTCTCCCATCCTTCCCTTCTGTCCCCTCCTACCTGCCACTCTCTGGGTCCCCACTGACCATCAGAGGTACGGGCTCTCAAAAGCTCCCTCTAGACAGTGTGCTGCATCGGGGGGGCGGTTACTGGGGAGCAGCCCATGTTTGGGGAGCAGAGAGCTGGAGGGTGGGCGAGTGCCCTCATCAGTTTTCTAGGACGCACCAGCACAGAGGAGGGAGATGCAAAGTTGAGAACAGCAGCCAGTTAATGATGGGGCTTACTCAGTACCACTGTCCAGCTGTGCAGCTCGGAGAAGATGTCCTGGGTTAGGGACAGGAGCAGGAATGGACCCGGGAGGTGGCAGGAAGAAGGGCCTGGGGGTAGGAGAAGATATCCTCAAAAGATGGTGGGAACTGGGTGACTGATCATCTGAGCGTGTTAGGAATCCATGCTGCAAAATCCCTTCCAGGGCACCATGTACAAGGGCGCAAAGCTGGGCGAGTCACAGGGGGAGGAATCCCAGGGAAAAGGGCACAAGACCTCAGGAAGCCACTCAGGAAGAGGCACAGTGCCCACCGCTGTGGAAGGTCTCAAGCTGCCCTCCGGGGCGCTGCCAGAGGAGAAAAAGCAGAACCGGAAGGAAAGGCCTGAGGGAAAGCTGCCATGGAGGGTTAATTGCCAAACAGCTGGTGATTGGTGAGAATAATTACTAGCATTGCCCAGCCACCTCCATGCCCTGGGCCAGAGGGCCCCGTGGACTCAGCACACCCATAGATCAGCTCATGCTAGGTTGTCAGAGGCCACCACTCCGATACAGCCAACCCAGGAAGGAGTGGTAAGACCACTGCTTATGGAGAAGAGCCATTTGGAAGATCCGGAAGGGAGAAGCTGGAGGCCTGCAGCTATAAAACTGTTCACACTGGAGTTTTGAAAGAAACCAATACCATAAGCTCTAATTGGGAATCATAGTCAAGAAAGGAATTCACCATATAAAATAAGTGTTCTGTGCTATGAATCATGTAACTTTGTATACAGTATAATGGCAGAGATACCAGGAGGTTTTGCTTCATCCCTAAGTCAGAAATGAATGCCAGTTTTGCAGCTGGACATAAACCCTCATCCCCACCCTGAAGTTTTCCTTTTCTTTCCCATTCCCCCCAAACCCAAGGATCAGACTACTGTTAAATTTCACCGTATGATTGGATTTTGCGAAGACGGGAGGCAAACGGAGTGATTTGCATCAATGGAATTGCACTGACAGTGTTTCTTAATAGGATTACTAAAATTTTTAATATAAAATGAAGATTTTTTTAAAAATCAGGAGTTGATATTAGGTACTAGGACATTAGTTCGGATGATTTCATTTTTATTTCTACAGTGTTAAAAGTGCACTTATATGCTGGTTTATTTCCATCTTGGGAAAAAGAGACTGCAAATTGAAGGGAAGATTGTTACTTTTTCTTTTTTTTTAAAAAAAAAAAAGGTTAAGGCAGATTTTAAGACTTATAAATGTTTAAGAAATTATAAACAAGGTTAGACCCTTCGAAAAAAAAGTTTAGAAGATATTCTTAAAGTAAATTTTTATAGTGTTAATTTTGTAATAATTTATGTTTTACTATATTACAGAGCTAACTGACCAGAATAGTTTCAGAAACAATATGAAACTTAGGAAAGTTGAAGCAACGTTTATATTTTTAAAATGTTCTTTGAATTATGTTTTTATTGTACATTTCTTCAGACTGAAAAGTATGTACATATCTTTGTTATTTTTGCACAATTTTCGTCTTGTTCGGTTTTAGAAGTCTGGTTTTTTTTTATAATTTATTTTGAGTTGTAATACTTGCAGGAGTAAAAACAAAAAAAAATCTCAGCAACAAAATAACCCTCTGATTTATAAACTCTTACACTCAAAGAAGGAAAACAAAAGTTGAGAGATTAAGTGGCTGCTTCTGAGAAATAATGTCTCAACAGGGACTAAAGGAGCAATTCAATGGATTTTAAACGTTTTAGCTCTCTACATCTTGAATTGCAAGCTGGAATAAAGAGGCTCCCCACCGAATGCTGCTTACTTGGTGAAAGACTGGCTCTGGCCAAGGTGAGGACATTTCTGGAAAACTGAGCAAAAAGGGAAAACCCATGGTGTTTCTTCCTTCACAGTCAACTACAGGTTTACTTTATAATGATGTATTCAGAACTCACAGCTTGAAAAATGGAATGCAAATAAAAGGTTTTCTTTCGGTTTGTTTGAATGGAGTTCAACTGGACCAGCCTATAAAGCATTATTAGGGGGATATCGTTTGGGTAGTTCTGCACACCCCACCTAGCCCTCTCTCCCAGCCCCTTGACTGCACACACCCCCATCTGCCTGAAGATCTCGTGACTTGTCGCCAGCCATAGAGGCTCGAAAGCTCTGGTTGTTAAAGCGTAACGCAATGCATAGACCTGTCAGCCATAAAAAAAAAAAAAAAAAAAAGCGACCTGGATAACTTGTATGCCTTCTTTTGTATCAATGTACCAATTGTAAATAATGCTGATCAACCTTTGTAGAGAATAGTTTATACAGCATATTCTATTATTGCTGATTCTCAGTGAACTCTTGTTTTAAAAAAGGAAAAAAGGAAATTTTCTATTTACACCTTCTATTTTGTTATGCTGTCGGCCCATGGCACTTTAACAAAACTCTGTGGGTTTTACGTAGCTGGTCAGTCATGGGGTATATTCAATAACTTGTTGCACAGACGAGAATTTGCACCTGCTCATTTGTCCTTTCCTACTACCGATTTTAGAACCTTTTCCAGAAGAATTTTGAAGAAAGCATGTCCAAACATTCTAAACAAATGCCACACTTGTGGAGTGGGTTTCTTTTCTACAATCCATATTTTGTAACACTAAGTATTTTCCTTCTTTGTCCTGCACCTTTATGTATTAGCACTATCAGATAGAATTCATTCCATGCCTGTGATATTGTAAGCAGAATAAATGTCTAAAGTAGGTGTAAATAGTAAATCCTATGGCTTACAGTTTTAAAAAGGAAAGAACAAACATGTATCTATTGATACTGCCGTGGTTCAGCACAAGGTCTGGAGACATTCTCCAGTGAGCGATTGTATTTTTTTTTTTTTTTTTTTCTTTTTTTTTTGGTAACATGGCTTTGTAAATAAAATAATTTATATGTTTGTAAAAACAGTCTTCGGGTTTTCATAAAATTTAGATTGGGGGTATTGTTTTTTATTCTTTTGGGTGTATGTGTCCTCACCAGACGAGCGTTCCTCCTAGAACCCACATTTAAGGTGTAGAAGAGAGTGAATTCATTCAACAGATATTTATGGAGCATCCCATCTGTGGCTGCCCCTGAGCTAGGCACTCTGCTCAGTGATGAGAAACGTAGTCCCAGCTGCTTGCTGAAGGCACCCTCGTGGGGGAGACAGTACATAAATAAACACACGATCCAACGTGTGATTACAGATTGTGACAAATTCAATGGTAGAAAGAATTGAGTTCTGTGAGAGAAAATAACAGGAGAAAGTGACGTAAAATGGGTTGGGGGTTGTGATCAGGGAGCTCCCTCTGAGGAAGTAAGCTGAAGGCAGAAGGTGTTGGGGAGATAATCCCAGGCAGAGGTGGTCCATGGTGGGAAAAGCCTGCTAAGTTCTTGGAACCTAAGGAACATGCACTGTGGACAGAGCAGGGAAAGGGATGGACAGAAGGCATGGCAAGGTCACAGAAGGACTCCTAGAGTTTGGATTTTTGTGCTCAGTTCAGTGGGAGTCCTTCAAAGGGCTTTACATAGGGCATGGCGTGATGTGATCTGTTGAAAGATGTCTAGCTGCTGTGTGGAGAATCCATCGGAAGTTGTTGCAAGAGACCCAGTGAGACATAGTGTTCGTGTGGTCCCAGGATGGTGACAGTAGATCTGAAAAGAAGTGAGTGGAGTCAAGATCCATTTTACATACTAAATTGACAAGACTGGTTTAGGAATTGGATGTGAGAGTAGGAGAAAGAATGACTCCCAGGTTTCTGCTAGAGCAGTTGTATTAGGTGGAGATGCCATTTCTTCAGATGTGGAAAACCAGAGGAAGGACAGGCTTTGGGGAAGGGGGGGTGGCAAAAGGAATGTTTCATGAAGATCAGAAGTTCTGTTTTGCACATGTGTGTTTGCTCACGTGTGAGATCACTGTGAAATCTCTAAGCTGCTGTGTCAAGAAGACATGGGATACACATGACTGGAGCTCTCAGCAGGTCTAAGTTGGAGGCATCAACTTGGGAATCTTTGTTATATGGATGATATTTAGAGCCACAGGTATGGATGTGATTACTAGAGAAGATGGAGAAGACGAGCAGACATTTGGAGGTTAGGCAGAAGCAGAAAAGCTTGCAAAGAACTCCAAGAGGAAGCGTTCACAAAGAGAAAAGAGAACCCTATAGACAGTGCTTCCCTGGAAGCGAGGACTGTAAGATGCTTCAAGCAAGGAGAAGTCAGCTGAGTTAAGTACTGTTGCAGTATGGGAGAGAGATGGTACTTAGTCTGGGGTTCTGCAGCATGGAGGTCTTTCGTGACTGTTAACAATCTCCGAGGGCTGTCATAACAAATTGCCACAACTTGGTGGCTTAAAACAACGTAAATTCATTCTCTCAGGGTTCTGGTGCCCAGAAGTTCAAAAACAAGCAGGGCTGCACTTGCTCAAAGGCCGTGAAGGAGAATCCTTCCCTGCCTCTTCCGGTTTCTGGGGATGCCTCGTATTCCTTGGCTTGTAGACTCATCACTCCCATCTCTGCCACCTCCTTCACGTGGCCTTCTCTCCTGTTTCTCCTGGGTTTCAAGCCTCCCACGGCCTTTCTCTTATAAGGACGTAAGGCTCACCCTAAATCCTGGATTATATCCTCTCAGGATACTTAAGGTAGTTACATCTTTTTGCAGATAATTCATACTCGCAGGTTCTAAGGGTTACGACTTGGACACAGAGTGACCTTAGCGAAGCAGGTGTGTTGAAGTGGCAGGAGAGTGAAGGAAATTCAGTTGTGTAGACAAGTCTTAAGAAGGTTAGAAGGCACAATGGAGTGTTTGGATTTTGTTCCCTTTTGTTTCTTTTGTTTTTCAAGGGAGAAGGGTCCAGATCACGATTCATATGCTGGTGAGGGTGGGACAATAGGGGAGGGAGAGGTTGATGAGACAGGAGAAAGGGGTGATTTTTTTTTTTAAAGGGAAGTTTTTGAGAAGGCAGGAGGGAGGTGAACTTGAACACATGTGGAGTATTGGCCTTTGTAGTGCAGAACAATCACCCGAGGCCTGTTAAACATTTTAAGAGTTTATCTGCACGAAAATGGGATTCAAATCAGGCAGCCCCAAACCGGAAGTGGTTAGGAACTCCACCACCAGGAGCTGGGGTGAGACTTCTATAGAGAAAAGGTGGAAGCAAAGTAAGGTAGATATTGATTGGCTGTAGCTTAAAGCCTAGTTGGCTGTTTGTGATTGATTGTCCCCAGCATTTTGGATTTTGTAACCTTGAGACATTTACAGACTTAGATTCTGGTTTGCTTACATAGGCCTCTAGGGCATTAGAGCATCTCAGTCTAATGGCCTCTTTGTTTGACTAACTTAACAGTAGTCAGAAGGACACTTCCTCCAGGGAAATGGGGAAGGAAGAAGTCAGCTTGTAGATTTGCTGCTGAGAAGATGAGGGAATCCCCCATCTGATGGCTTCCATTTTCTCAGCGACCGTGGGGCAAGCTGGGTGTGCCTGAGAGCTCAGAAGAAGTTTGAGAAGAGTAAAGAAAGAATTAAGTACTTACTAATGAGACTGGATTGCCACACAGCATTGAGAGCACATTTGAGATTTGTGATCAAAGCACAGTCCTGGCATGGTGATGACAGCCTTGGGGAGTGGTTTGAGCACATCAAGGGTAGAGCAAGGCCACTTGGAGCCAACACTCTTGGCCAAACTTCGGCAAATTTCTTAGCGTTTTGCCTCAGGCCTAACTGTAAATATTTTCACTATTGTACAGGGAAAAAAAAAAACAAAAAACAGAGGAAGCAGCTTTGAAGCTTGAGGAAGCTTCACAGAGGAAGCACATTGCACATAAACGTTTGTATAATTGGATTATCCATAGCCACAAAACGTCAGTGTGGCGCTTCTAGCAGCAAGGACATCATGTATCCCTTGGTTCTGAGCTTTGTCTGAGACTGGCTGTCCATCACTGTTCCGGCCTGGTGACTTCTAACTCCATTTTTTTTTTTTTTTTTTTTTTTTTTTGTGCGGTACGCGGGCCTCTCACTGCTGTGGCGCTCCGGTTGCGGAGCACAGGCTCCGGACGCGCAGGCTCAGGGGCCATGGCTCACGGGCCCAGCCGCTCCGCGGCATGTAGGATCTTCCCAGACAGGGGCATGAACCCGTGTCCCCTGCATCGGCAGGCGGACTTTTGACCACTGCGCCACCAGGGAAGCCCTCTAACTCCATTTTGAAGGGAGCCTAGACATCCTATATTTTCCCAACCTGGAACTCTGAGAAGCCTCAAAATTAGTCATAGGCTTGGAGAATCAGTGTGAAAACTGGAAGTAATAATGAAGACCCTCTTCTGCAGGTGAGGAAACTGAGACACAGACAGGTCGAATGAGGTACCAAGAGCACACAGCTGGCTGACAGGCAAGCCTGTCCCGCCTTCAATCTGGTGCTCTGTCCATTCTATTTCCCTGCCTCCTGTAGAAATAAACTGCACCTACCGACTTTTCTTCCTAAGCCCCTGTGGATATTTCCAGAAAGGTATTTTATAATTCTGTGTGCCTCCTAGCTGGTTGACTCAGGTGTCTAGAATTTAATTTTACAATACTTCAGTATTTTTCTCCTTTTGATTTTTCCACTAGGCAATAACTTCTTGCTTTCTGATCTGGTTGGAGCTATTCTGGAATGTCAGGTTTAAGGTATCCATGTCACTGAGCAAAGTTCCCAGGAGTGTATTTCAATAAGTTTATTTTCTATTCATTACATCTTCATAAGCCATTCAACTAGAAAAGTAAATGAGGAAGGTGTAAGAAAACTGAACGCCTCAAACACTCAATCAGTCCCACGCAAGTCTGAATCATTGCAAAATCACAATGGGAGCCAACAGCTCGGAGGCGCTGCATTTATTGTGACAATTGAAATCGCAAATCTGATCTAAGGTCATTAACATTGGAAGGGTTCTCTTAATTTTAGAAGATTCTGGAGCTTTTCTGGATTCCTCCTTTCGCCTTTAAGTATTTCAGTAAAATTTTTTTTTTTTTTTTTTTTTGCAGTACGCGGGCCTCTCACTGTTGGGGCCTCTCCCGTTGCGGAGCACAGGCTCCGGACGCGCAGGCTCTGTGGCCATGGGTCACGGGCCCAGCCGCTCCGCGGCACATGGAATCTTCCCAGACCGGGGCACGAACCCGTGTCCCCTGCATCGGCAGTCGGACTCTCAACCACTGTGCCACCAGGGAAGCCCCTTCAGTAAATTTTTAGTCAAAGCAGCAGCAGCATCACAAAAGCGTTCACATCATCAGGCAACTGAGCTAGCTGCTGGGGGTGGGGGGCTGTGAAAGTAGGGGCTTGCATGGTCTGTATTAGGGTTTTCATTTTCTCTCCAGCCACTTCACTATTGGATTTCCTAGCTGGCCTTATCACTAACCCCCCTCCACTACCCACCCCCAATCTCCCCCATGTTCCTGAATAATCCAGATGCAGTGTTGGAGGGCTGGCAGGTAGAGGGTAGCAATTCTGGCACATTATTGGGATAGGGCAAAGGCAGAGCCCCATGGAAGTGAAGAGAAGGGAGAGGAAAAACATGATTCCGGGGCTTTTCCTTTGGAAAGAATCAGATGCATGTTTCTGTTTCTGTTTGCAGTTTTTACAAGTCTCTTGGTCCTGTCCAGCTCAATAAACTGAGAAGGTTTGGATCTGTACTAGATGCTCAGTACTGGGCCTGCCTGGCC